GCCTTTGGTGAAGGATTATCTGCAGTGAGGGACTTCTGGAGAAACACCACACATCCATCACCCAGGATTCCCTCAGCCACTCCAATGAGCTAGCCAGCAAACGGGCTTACGTCAGCTTGAGGAGATGCCAGGGAATGCTGCCAAGTTGCTGTCTTTGCCCGCTTCAAGATCTATTTATACTCTCTTTTGGATATTAGAATGCCCTTGGGATAAAAGAGATCTTTCCATCCCAGTGGACACTATGACTTGATCTGCCTGGTTTTGAGCATTGATTCTATTCCTGTATTCCTTCCTATTGCATTATATGCTATTTTTACCAAGCTGCTAGGAGCTCCATCATGTTTTTGGCTACCATTTGTAAGTCTCATAGAAGCCAGCACCAGAAAAATGCTTCTGTTCCTCCCCAAGCTTTACAGATGCGGTATTTTCTGCTAGCTTTGGCACTGTTTACCCTCCAAGATGATTTGTACAATCAGAACTTTTACTGAGTTTCCAAACAGATGATATTGAAGACTCTCTTGCAAAATTGTGTGGCCTGGATTGCTGGAGCAGTCCATGTTGGTTACCTTCGCCAAGAAACATTTCCATCCTTCGGACAGTTTATCTAACACTGGACAAGGAGGTGCATGGGACCACTCCCAGCACGGAGCTTGGGTTTACAGCATTGTCTCACTGGCACCAGCCCAAGGCTGAGGGAAGGAGCCTAGAGAACAGGCTATCCTGTGTCAATAAAATGGACTAATGCAGTGGCAGTGAGTGCAGCTCTGTCTCCCCCAGCCGTGAAGACAACCTGCAGGCAGCCTGTTGGGATTTGCTCAGACCTTTAGAGGCCTTTCTTGCAGTCTTGGGTACTAAGCCTAATTTTGAGAGCAGACCAGGATCGCTCTCACTCATTCTGCAGTTTCTTTCCCAACTTGTGACTGATTCCATGATATTGCATGAGCTGTTTATTTTTCCTTTATACTTCATCCTCTCTTTCTGTGAAATGGGGAGACCAGTGAAGTGTATGTGACTTCACTATTGCATGTGGATTCAGCCTTGGCTCAAATGATCTTCTTTTTATCCATTTTCAGAGCACAGGGAGAGGTAAATCTCCTCCAAACAAAGCGAAGGGCACCAGAAATACTTGGAGAAGATCAATAAATTAAACAAAGCAGAGGCACCGAAAACAATGAGAAAGATAAAACATAGACTCTCAAAGTAAAGCCAAAAGCTGTATTTCCACTCATGTCACAATAATATTTCCAGTGAAGTTTCCCAATTTTCACTTTGTAAAAGGGGAAGTGAGACAGAAAAAAATATTTACTCTGGGTCACACGGGGGAAAAACAGGCAATCCATCAGGGAATTTAACAGGCTTGGGGCATCTCCATCTTCCTAAGATGCTGCTGCTTCTAAACTGGTTGTGTCCCTCTGTTGAGCTTACATAGCTCTGTGTCCTATCAATGCTGAGAGCATCAGCTTAATCTGCTATCTGCATCAAAGAATTCCTGCTCAGTTCTCCTCTGCATTGGAAACAAAAGTGAGTGTGGCGCAATGTTAAGCATCTCTGTGTGAATTGGTTTTTCAACCTCTGTTGGAGCAATTCACATCAGTAAATCAGTTTAGAGAAGGAAAAAAGTGTAACAGTAGCATGTTAAAAAGAGGCCTTTTGTCAGTCTCAAAACCAGCATTGATAGCGCCATCGTCTGACTTATTAGCAGGCTTGTGACAGCTCATGTTTGGTTTGTGTTGGCCAGATCTTCTAACATTTCAGAAAACCAAAACCATTTCCCGTCTAGAACTCAGCCTCTGACCTGGCTGGAAACTCACAATAAATCTATACATTTTATCAGATTTCAGGGCTTTTTGAGCCAGGCTTTCATGGGCAACTATTCTGAGCCCTGGAGAGAAAATACAGAGTGATCATCTGGCTTGCTAAGACCCACAAAACATGAGGTTCATTTAGGAGATCAGGTGCGTACCCAAAGGCTTGAATCCTCATAGGCGTTGCAACAAAACCCATCTCTGTGAGAGATGTATTGAATGTAATTTAACAGCTTTAGCTGTATCATCAAAGCCAATTAAACCAAGAGGCTTAGGGAATGTTTAACCCTGCTGCAGTAACTAAATAGCCAAGAGCATTATTAATGGGAATTTAATTAGAGACAGAATTTGAACCATTTAAAGACATAGGAAAGGATTTTTAACCCAATTTAGTTGGGTTAAGATAGAAGAACTCACAGAGGAACTCTCTTCTACCTTAGAAATCAGGTGAATTGCCAGCATTTCTCTTGATGAGATCTTTGGCAGACCTACTTACAGACTCTCAGTTGATCCTGACTGGAGGAAGGCAGTCTGATGAAGATGTCCCAGGGTTGCGATGGCTGTCATGCCCCATCTCAGCACCTACAGACTCCAGCAAGGAGTCTTAAAGGAGGGAACTGTGCTTGCAAATACTTCCCTAAACTAGCAAGCAAAGCAGCTCCATGTAGTGTTGTCCCTCAGAGATAATCAGCCAGGTCCCAGGTCTCCAGACCTGGCCTTGAGGACTACAACCAAGGGGAGCAAGTAGCAGGCAAGAGATGAGAAGCAGCCAGTTTCACCAACCATCCTGGGTTGTAAGACTATAACCAAGAGTGCTGGCAGGTGAGGGACCTAGGGTACTGTAGCCTCTTGATTATCCATACTTTCAAAAGTGACATTTTCCTCTTTTCACCTAAGGAAGCAAGAGACTGGACTCTTGCTGGACTGGACTCTGTACCTTAGTGCAAGAAGCCAGGATGAATATTATGGTTCTGCACATGGTCCTGGGAGGTTTTCTGGTTTTGGGTTAGTGTCTTGTTCACTGGTTCTGCAATTACCAGATTTAGGACCAGGAAAAAATTCTCTTCTGATTGCTTATTCCCTTGTTTGGAGAATTGTTGAGAATTTTTGGATTTTTTTTTTTTTTCCAAGTGATTTTAAATGTTTCAGGACACTAGGGAGCTTTTGATATCTGATTGAGACATTAAGAAGATTCTTTGGTACATTCTTTCTGACTTCTTGCCTGTTGAGTATCCTCGTCGCTGAAGCAGGGCAGATGAAACACAGAGTGATCAGTTTAAGATGAGAAAACCAGCTCAAAAGCGTGTAGTCAGTCTTTATCTTCATCACCATATACTTAAACACATATCCAGTGAGATGACCTGAGGACAGCACTGATCTCGCTTGTTTTTCCTTTAGCAAGTCTTTCCCTGAAGTTTTGTCTGTATCTGAGCAGAACAGGGAGCCCAGGCCCACTTGTGGATGATGTTGGATCAGTCATTGTTGAGCAAATTATACTTTCACACTGAGTGATTTCAGAAATCAGCCAACCCTCACATCCAAAAAAAGGTGAACGGATGTTGAGTTTCACCTTCCTGCCATCTATCATTAGCAATATTATTCACTAGCATCTACACAGACTGACCTTGTGAACGTGTCACAGAAAGGGGGCAGAGTCTTTATCACCAATGACGATGTGCAAAAAAGAGGAACAAGCTAGATTCTCAGATGAAACTGCAGGCTTGGCTGTTAGAAATAACATCTTCTTTGCAAACAGCACACATGATCTGATGCTCATGAGATATCCTCAGCCTAAACCTCAGAACATCCTTTTCATTAATTGCTTTAAGGGGTGGTGGTGGGGGAGTTTAACTATTGTTTCCTTGTGACATATTTCAGATAGCAAGGACAGCACCATTCAGAAATTAGACAGCAGAGGATTGAAGCTATTAACTTTTTTATTGAAACTCATCTTTCAAGTCACACACTAAAAGCAAAAAAATGCAAACACTCGGGTATAAAATAGCAAAGCAATACTGTGAATATTCCAGCATGTTGTATATTCTGGAGCACACACTATTAATCATTATCACAAGCAGACAGGTTGAGAGCTGCATTGTAGTTCATTTGGGATCTTCAGCCTTTTGCTGATCCCTTTCCCTTAGGTCTTCATTAGATGATGCCGGTTAACATAACATATTTCAGAGTTAGGCTCTCTCAGCAAAAAGGCTTTTGCTTGTTCTCCCCCCTCCCCATTCCACTTACTAAATGCTTGATGCTCCCCTCAGCTGCCAAGTTAAAGATATAAAATAGATGAGAACCCACGTCCTGCTGGGACAAAGTAAGCCTGATAAGAGATTCAGGCCAATGCCTGTGCTTTCACATTAGCCAGATGTGAAAGGCCAGTGATGGGAACTTTTGTGTTGCTTGGTGACAAGTTTATTAAAATAGCACTGCAGCTCAGTCCTCAGTACCAGCTCAGATCTGCAAGTGCAGAATGAGGCACCAGCTCCAGTAGTTCACCGTCCCTCTTTAGAGGCTCCTACAAGTAAATTGGATTGTAATAAGCATGATACTGCTATGAAGTAAGGGCTTTTCAATGAGGCTGACACAAGGGGCAAGAGGCACCAACAGCAATACAGATGTCTTCTCTTCCCTGTGAGTAGAGCTTAGATTGCTACATAGGGAGGTGGAGATTCCTTAGAAGGCAACTCTAAGGCTTCCTTGTATGATGGCAGCACAGCCTGGAAAGAGAACACTATTAGACGTGCTCTAGGGATCACAAAAAGGGTTTCACATGGATTTGATTTTAGGCAGGATTTGATTAGGATTTGATTAGGTTTCTCTTCCCAATTCAAAGCAGGGGAAAAGAACAGCATAGTCTGTAAATGGTGAAGGACAGAAATCCGAAAGAGTTAGAGGCAAGCAGCACTTTGTATAACCACGCTACTACTAGTCCCACCTTCTTCTCCCAAAGCATTGCTGCAACAAATGGACCAAGGCTCTTCATGTCCAGACTTCAAACCTCGTTGCATAAGCAAAGAGGCTAAGCTCTGTGGGAAGTCACTCCTGAGAGTCATCATGCATGCACAACAGGGGCACACGCTGCTAGCAAGACAATGCTCATCATATTTGCCAAGTTTCAACAAGACAAACGCCTCCACTTAGCGTTCCATAATCTTCCTCTTTACTTCTCATCTGTCTTTTACTCTAACTCTTATCTTTGGACAGTCTTCAAAATCCCTGCATTGTCTCAGAGCAGCTGGATGCTACTATTAAAGAGGTCATCAGCAGCCTAGGTAAGGACATTGATATTCATGGCTTAGCAAACCATTAAGATGAAGGGTGATGCACCAAGACTCTCAGACACTAATCCAACAGCACGTGAAGACAAACTTAATTTTAAGCATGGGTAGCACTATTAGGCACAGAAACCAAAGTTCAATTGAAATTAAAAGCACATTTCTGGATCAGAGAATAAGAGTGATATAGCCTCATTTATCTGCTTTGCCTGAAGTCCAAGTTTCAGGTTTCTTGCCGATTCCATTACCTTTGAAAGGTTTTATACAGGAGTAATGCCAGAGAAATATAATTGGAATCCGACTATTAGTGCCTGTTGATGCAAATTTGAAGGGCTGAATTATCTCTCAGACTGTCAAAGAGAAGAGTAAGGAGAGGCATGATGGTCCTCAGTACAAACCATGCCTTTTCACAGTGGAAACCTAGAGTCTTAACTCACCTTCTCAGCTGCTTGTGGGTCGACTTTCACCTCCCCTCTCTTGCTGGCTTTAATGTACTTAAAGCAACTCAGGACACATTTGAACATATAAGCCTGAAAAGGAAAGAGAAGTCTGTCATTGCATTGCGAATCAACCAGAGCATTTCCACTTTTGCCATTAGCCTGCCACTGTTCTACTATCACACTAGAGGTGAAAGAGTCACAGAAGTCTGGGTACCACATCACAGCCTCAGACTGGTCTGGACTCTTCACTAGAAAGGTGACAACTCCACCTGTCCAGAGCAGCACAGTAGTGCAAGGAGTCAATAGGACTATCATTAAATACAAAGCACATGCTTAAGACCTTTGAGAGGTCAATTTGTCATCAGGAAGGAAAGGGAAGCATGTTTTACTCTCATGTTGTTTTTCTGAGCAGGCCACAAAGTCCAGGTGTCTCAGAAAAACACCTGGGGCATAACATCCACCTCCTAGAGATACAAGGCCTACTGGTCAACAAGGACTGACCCAAAAGGTTAGCTCATTCAAGAAAGTTTTATGTTTTCATTAGTTATGAAAAAAAAAAGAAAGAAAGAAAGAAAGAAATCAACCCTCCCTTGCACCTCAGAGTTAGGAGATGAGATAGAGAGCTTTTTTGAGAAAAATGGATCGATTGACAGATTGTGGCGCAAGAAAATAAGCAAGGTCTGTGAAACATACCATATTAAATAAATATTTTCCCTACTATGTGCAGTGAGGCAAAGTCGTGTGCCTCTTATTTTTACTGGCATAAGACTGCACTTTAAAAACAGTTGCCATTTGCAGAAAAAAAAAAACCATAGGGAGTTATATGCCCCAAGAAGTAGCCATCTAGCTTAGGACTTCCTAGAACAATGAGGACTGTTTGTCTTGACACAAAGCCAAGACAAAGAGCAAGAACAAGGAATGAGTTGTTTATGTTGAAGGAATCCATCTCACAGACTTTCAGAGACAAGGAAGTAAATCCAAACTTGGACTACCTTTAGGGAATATTATAAAAGCCTTCCCCTTTCCAAAAGCCTCTTCACACAAAGAACAAACATGCAAGACACTGAAGCCATCATATAAACTGAAGCACAAACCCCTACTCATCCTCTAGAGAAGCTCCAATAAATAAAGAATACAAAAATAAAATAAAAGACCTTCCTCCCCATTCTTAAAGGATTTTGAATCCAGAACAGCTTGCTGCAGTGCCAGTTCAGTATCTACACTGAAATAAATGAATGAATTGACTTAAATCAGGACTTGTGCAAGCCATAGCATGTTCAACCAGAATACATTAGTACCACAGCTTATACAAAGGAAACCAAAGATCATCCCAGCACTGGGTAAATCAAAACAGCCAGAGTTGCAGTGTAGGATGCCCTTTTCCACACTGGACCAAAGATGGAAAATTTCACTGGCATCCATAATGTCTATTATATGCTGGCAGGAAGTCTGTCCTAGAGATCAGAAGGAAACAGGCATTTGTGACACCTATTTCAGAAATACATTGCATTAGAAACCCTCTCTGCCTTCATGTCCCAGAGATGTTTTAATCCCCTTGGTTTCTGCATTCTTATCCACCATGGTAGGTAGCAGAAGGGATGTTCATTTATTCATGATACTAAGGTGAAATAAAGATTACTTGTGGATAGGTACGTTAGCGAGGGAGACTTCCCTAATGGTACTATGCAAGCATTGCATATGTAAGACTCCTACGGCCTTTTGAACACTTTGCATCGCTAAGGTACGCACACTTGGACAACTGAAAACATCACCACTGGGGCTCTAGAAGTAAGACTAAAGACAACCGCTACGCTGGTAAGGAGCTGTGAAGTTGCATGGAGCGTCTTGCAGTAGGACATGTTCCCTGCATAAGGAGGTTTATATGAGAGAAGGGAGGGAGAGGAGTGATTCAGTTCCCTGAGCGTTGTTGAAGAAATCTTTCCTGCTAAGAGGGTAAGCAAGTCCTTGCAGGTCCCACAGGAAGTCACAGGCAGAAGCATGTAGGAAAGAGATGCCCGGACGACTTCTCCATCTGACAGACCACCTTTTAGCCAACTGAATTACACTGTGGAGTGGGATGTAGATAACTACTTGGGGTCACTAGCCATAAGCTGGAAGGCAAACGGATGCCGCCAGATACACAGAAACAATATTTCAATGGACAGACAATAAAAGCTTTTGATGGCCCATTAAGCAAGGCATTTTAGGCAAAAAGATCTTGGGCTAGTCCAACATATTTAGATGCCATCCCTGGTGGAGGAAGACAGTGAATTGAAACTGATGGGCCCTAAATGGGCCAAATAGCCTTTTTAGCTCTAAAATGAGGAACATGGCAACATGAAATATCAAAACTTAATCACTTGGAACCAAGTCTTTCATGAAAATAGCTTTGTTACACATGGAAAAGGAGTGAAAGCATTGCCACCAAGTTCAAAGAATGGAATTCTTGGCAACCTGTTTGGGTGGGGGGAGGAGGCGAGAGAAGAGGGGTAAGAAGGTTGGAGTTATGAGGACTTTAGTAGGCCAAGGAATACTGCTGCCTTTCCACTTGACTTTTTAAGATTATTCTCCCCCCCATCCAGTCTTCCCACAAACTCCAACACAAACAGCCAGTAAGCTAAATAGTCTTGTAGCTTACTCTGTGGAAAGTTCAAACCAAGCCTTGTTTGCTAGGTCAGTGAAATTTCTGCTGAAGACCCAGAGCGCTGTGCCAGTTGGGTTTCAGGGTTATCTCCAGAGCTTACTGCCTGGAGTTTATGCAGATATTAAAAGAAGTAATGTCTGCAGTGCAACCAAGTAAGCATTATGCTCCACACGGACTTGTCTGGTTACCTGGGCAGAGTCAGGGGGAGAAGTAGCTTTCCAGCTAATAAGTAGCATTTTTCACTGTGACAGAGTCTACCTGGAGAGGTCTAGCTTTCCTAGCTGGTCCGAAACCCTGTTCTCCAATCCACTGAAGCAGGAAGAATAGAAGCCCTTTCACAGTGGAGTTTCTTAAGAGGTAAGCAAGATTTAACAGCTCACAGGTTTTAATTAAGTTTCAGGGTATCTGTGTGCATACCTCCATTCACATCAGTGCAGGTACAGCAATCTACCCAAGTGGAAGATCTAACCTGCTGCTTAATGATCTAATTTGTTTTGGCGTACAATAGCAGAACAGTCTCCTATATTTGTTTCCAAACTTCTTACCCTTGTAGAGGTGAACGTGCATGGAAAGGCTATGAATATGAGAGAGGGTTTGCTTTATAACTCACACCTGCAGAAACATATGAACAGCGATTCAAATTTCAAACCTGCCTCCAACGCTGCACTGAGACATAGCTGCTATTAAGCACAGGGGCAGACTTTGCAAGGCCCTGTCAGGTTTGAGGGAGAGAAGAACCAATTCCTCCTATTGCCCAGGCAAGTAAGCTGCATTTCAGCCTTCATGACTCACCAGACCTGACAGCCATTTACCTTCAGGAAGAGGACAGCAATGAACGCAATTGTGAAGGTGATCATCATTTTGGCATATTCCTCTGTCGTTAACTTCTCAACGGTTGGCAAAAAGCCCTGTGGAAAAGGGGAGAGGGTCTCAGTAATAAACACTACCAGTAGCCACAGCTCTCAGGAAGGTGGGAGAGGCCACCCTTCTTTACCAGGAAAAGGCAGATCTCCAGATGCTCAGGGGTATTTTTACTGTTTAAACTTCTTTGGGAAAGATTTTCAGAAGAACATTCAAATGAGAATTGAAGTAGTATGGCTATTTATTAAAGATGAAAAGTTGATGTGTTTTCTAACGTACGCAGGGAGGCTGCATCCAAATCACTCTGCTCTGCAATTTGCATCCTTCAGATTCTTACAAGAAAAACAGGGAGTACTTTTAAGAAACACCGGCATAAGCAAACTGTCAGTCAAGAATACCATGTTGCTGAGAATATATGGCAAAATCCTCTTTTGTCAGTAAACAAAGCAGTTCTGGATATCCTGTGGAGAAAGCTTGCTTTGTCGTAACAACCACTGAAAGAAACTTCCGAGTGGTTAACACCATGACACAAATCACCTAGACTTGCTCACTGCCTACCCCATTGTCTGAAGACTTGAGGCTGAGATAGGTTGGGACCTCCATGTATGAACTGCAGAGAGTGAGGATACTCAGGCAGAAGTCCAGCAGCTGCAGAGCCAAGAAAGGGATCTTTGAGTGTCCCTGCTGCACAGGTGAGAAGAGCAGAGAAAGTTTTGCTTATGGTTGCAAGGTTGAATCACATCTATAGAGCTCCCCTATTTACAAAGGGGCTGTGCTTTACTCTCATTTACAGCCTAACCCATTTAATTCACTTATGCTAGCCAAAACACCAAGCAAACCATCTTACTGGGCTGATTTCTACCAGCACCACTAAAGCACTCTCTGGGCAGTGCAGTGGTATTCATATCTTATCTCCAACCCTTCCCAGCATTGGCACACCCCAAACAACCTCTCCAAACCCCTGAGAGAGAACACAAAATCAACAGGGAAGATTCCCAGGTGTGCAAAATTAGCTGATGCCCCAGCTGTCACTACTTCTCCTTGGCACCCTCTAATCCACCAAGGATTGTATCCTGTTTCCAGCAATAGACAGTGTAGGAACCACACAGCCATGAAGAATTCTGACCCCTAAATAATAACCCTTAATTCCTAATTGTGCATCAGTCTCCATCTCATATTGCCTCCCTCAGAGACCACCATCCCAGAAGTAAGCTGTTACCTACTGTGTGGCTAAGGGATGACATAGAAATGATCGCTGGGACTTGTATGTAGGAGCTGAACATTGTTAGGAGGCTGAGGAGAAAGTCCATGACTTGTAGAGCAAGGAATGGAATCAGGAGACGTTCTCTCTTCTGAGAAAGAAGAAAAACAGTGCCAGTCATTTCTGTTCTATGTGGAGGAATGTGGCCAGGTATCAATACTTGAAAGGACATATCAGGTGCTTCAAGAGCAAATCTCTCTCCGGGAATTTCTGCACCTAATCCCATGTACCGCAGTGACTATTGCTTCAGGAACAGTGAAAAGCATCAAAATTCATTTTCTTTTCCCCTCCCCCATGGAGTTTCCCTAAGTGACATTGACACTTGATCCCATCAGAACTGTCATTCAGCTACCCAAAAGTTCTGCTACAAATAAAGCTGGGTTCCCAGATCAACGCAAGGTCATTTCTTCTCCTGAAATGTGAATCTAATCCCCACTGTATTAGGAGAGTTATGGTTTACCTTCAGAATCTGACTTGGCAAAGAGCAGGAAAATGAGGCAATGCAACATTTCACAATCGGAACACATACATTCCTTAACACAAAAAATAGTTTTGATTGAAACGTCACCCAGATTTGGTAATTCTGGCAGTTAGCAGCTTTGCAAATGATCTAACAAACCTGAGACTTCAAACCAGCCACTTTCCCCCCTTTTGAAAAAAAAACTGACATTTTTATCTGCCATTACGATCATACTTCAGTATTTTCGGTAAGTATTCTTCTGGTGCCCTCCTCTACTGCCTCCTAGCTCAGCGAGGCCCCAGTAAGCAGCTAAAGCTTTATTTATGAAGAACATACCTTCACCACACCAAGAAGGAGGTTGAAGCTGATAACAAACAGCATGATGATCAACAGGAAACTGGTGATGACATCAGCTAAAAAGTAATACAAATAATTGCCACGTTACTGAAAGTTAGAGCCTAATAATTTCACTCCTAACAATCTCACTTCTAGGGGAGATAATAAAGTGTGATATTGTGATACAGAAAGAACTGTATAGGTGGGAGTGGGAAAGCCATGCAACTGCAAGGTGGGAGATTGCTCTCTTTGCCCCTTTTTACCCCCACTTTTTCATCTCTCTTTGAAGTTTTCTTCTTTAGGAAGAGATCACTAGGCTGCACAAGCTGTCAGCTCAGGCAGGTGAGAGCTAAAATATTACCTAGACCAAAATTCTAAATATCCTGGGCTAAATGAAGGTAAAATGAAAGAAGACGAGCAGAGAGGTTTTAGGTAATGATTAATAAGTCTGAACTGGAAACCATTTTGGAGACTCAAAGAAGGATAAACTAGTTAACAGTAAGAGCTGGGGAGAGATCTGCAAGATTCTCAGATAGCGTGCGCAAGTTTTAACCACCTACCACTAGCATGGACCACAGAGTTTCAGGGTGAAATGTCTCATCTCCAGCCTCTGCAGATGTAGGACACGACTTATTAAAAGTAAACATGTGTGAGGAGAACAACATGAGACACTTCTCAGACTGCTAGATAATCTTTGTCAGCTGTTTTGGATCCCGGAAGACGATTTCTTCTATGTATGTAGCTGCCTAATGACCAGTTCTCAGGAAGTAATTTCCTCTCTTCCTGTTGCAACCTGCCCTGATAAGATCTACTGAAGCCTTCTTTGCACTGTATAGCAAACACACTTGGGCTTTACAGTGTCTAGCTAGCATGAGGTTTTTCGTAAAGTTATTTTGCTTCTTGTGGGGGGGAAGGAGATCTCTCCAAAGGCAGAACATTGTTATGTTCTTCATCTGCCTCCACATAATGCGCAGTCTTTCACCGTGCCTCCTCCAACTCACTCTCAGCTTTTCATTCTTAGTGCTTCATTTGGATTTAAATAACAGCAGCCTGTTTGGGGTCTCTAAAACCCTTTATTCTGGCATTTGGAAATAAGTTTAGTAGAAGAGATTTACTGGTTTTATCTTGTCTTAACTTCTTCAAAGCAACTGATCCTTCCCAGAACTACAAAATTCTTTTAACACCAGGAAAATCTGATTATCAGTTAGCATCCTCTCCCCCCCACCCGTATTACTCCTTTATTAAATAAATCCAATGCCTAACTATATTTTTTTCTATTACCCCTTTCAGCTCTTCCACTTACTTTCATAAAGGAATCTAGAAATCTTGTTAAGCAAGCCTGTTGGATCTGAGCTGCACTGAAAACCTTCACTGCTCTCCTTCACCCCTTCTCCTCCGCTCCTCCCATGAAGATGCCACTCCGTCTTCCCCAGCTTTGCCTTTTTACCTAACCTTGGTACCATATAACACCCTTGGGTAGGGGGAGAAGGGGGTTGTTTCAGAGTTAGAGCATACACCAGAGAGTCCTTAACTCACTCACTAGCTGTGCTATCTTGAGAGAAAATAATCTACAAAGGTGTTCAGGCAGAGAAACTTGTCCCTCTGTTACGCGAGTAGATAACACCAACGGTGCCATTCACAACGACAAATGCTTTGAACAAGAGCAGGCCCAGCTGTGCTTTAGTTTGGCCAGTTACACTATTTGAGGGAGCAAACACAAACAGTTGTCCCAAGTCTGAGGGAGAGCTACAGCGGAGAAGGGCAGACCTACACCCAGGGCGACCTATGGCATATGGCAGGACATCAGTGCCCATTAGATGCAGCAGCTGCAACATATGCAGACTGCCAAGCGCTATATCCAGTTTCTGCTAAGCGACGCAGGTATGGACAAACGCCAGTAAAAAAGGACTCAGAAACATGACCAAAACCAGTAAAGAGAGGTATAGATACTGAGAAGCTCTGGAGCCTTTCCAGGGTTGTAAAAGCCCAGTTGCCCAACTGAGCCACACCGGGCAGTGAGGGCAGGCAGCAGCAAGGTGGGGAATTTTGCGTCACTTCTTGCTGTGCGCATCTTGTCAACACTTAGCAACGCACTTAAGTCTCCTCTAAAGATGAGGTTTGTTGATGGGGAACCTTTGTTCTAAAAACAAGCACTGACCGAGGCTTTCTTCCCTGGGTCTGAGCAACCTCTTCCCTTCCGGGACTCGAAGCAGGGGGGACCTCTGAGGAGGCTGCAGCCCCCAGAGAAGCAGCAGCACTGCACAAACTGCCACACATGGAGGTGCGAAACAGGAAAGGTCCAAAGGGAGTGATATCAAGTGCCCAAATACTTGATCTGTAGCAGGAAAGAGATTTCTTACAGCACAAAGCAGGCAAATGCCTTTTGCTTATAGTTTGATTAAAAAACAAACAAACAAATTAAGGATTTGTTTACCTCAGAGTAATGAAAACTGAAATGTGGAAGAGGAAGAAGAAATCGTGGGAAACTGCACAGAAAGAAAATCGAAATCAGTAAGCCCCAAATTAGAAGAGAGGAAAAGTAGAAAAGATGGTATGGCAGAAGAGACCGCTCACAGCTTTGAGGCTTTTGACAGTCGAAGGAAGAACCTAGAGCAGCAAGGCAGAAAACCAAATCGACCTTTCAGAAGAGGGAGAATAGAGGCAAGGCTGTGATTTGCTGTGCAGAGAATCAGAGGTCCTGAACCATGTGGTTAGCATGAGGACAGCATAAACTTGAAACTAAAAGAAAGCTCGAAGAGACTCGGCCTTTGTAGAGACAGCCATAGAAAGGGATCCCAATCCTAATAGTCCTAGTCTCATTAAAACCAAAACTGCATCAAGTCGCTTCAACCTGCTTTAATCCTAGAACCAAGAATCAGAAGACTGCCCCAGAGAGGAGTTCTCTTTAGCACTGTATTTTCTTAGATTCAGGACAGCTGTGTTTTTTCTGCCTCTTTCTGATTGGTCTCATGCATTGGGTGTCTCAGCAGGCTCAGTAATTAATTGGGCAACTGGCCATTGCTTCTGCAAGCTAACTGCCAACAAAGCCCAGGACAATTTCCCAAACAGAAACTAGATTTTAAAAGCATACACAAAAAAAAACCCACAAACAAAAAGTCCCCAAACCCTATAGACAAGGGATAGAAAGAAAAGGCAAAACAAGGGAGGGAAAAAAGTAAACTTCTACACACTATCTGCATCCTATTTGTTCACAGCACAAATATTCACCCTTTCTGCTGGCAGCAGATCTCTGTCCCAGGTAACAGATTTGATGTTATTTTAACAAAATGACTTCTCCTCTCTTGAAAACACATCCCCCCTCTGCTCTTTTTAAAACCATATGGGCTAAAGAAATGACCCCCTTAGAAAGCGGTAGCTCCTGGCTCTTACCCCTGGCTGTGCAAACTCTCCTTGAGATGGGAATAACGGTGCACGTTACAAAGACACCAAATGACACACACCTGAAATACTCTGCAAGGGCTGGCAAAGTGGCAAGTTGTCTTCCCAAACCAGTAGTAGAATAAGAGGATCCCTGGCATGCGAGACACTTCTAACCACAGCAGACAAAGCCCTAGAGAGTGGATTAGCATGACTAATAGGCTCTTCCATGCCCAACATCTGTAGTTGAAAGATGTAAGACAATAATTCTCTGGTGCTGTTCTGTTCAGTGTTTCCCTTCATGCCTAGTTGGCCTTTGTAGAAAGAACATTTGCCTCTTTTGTCCTAAAACACCCTCAGAAAAGGGCCAAGTTTAGGACTCCTGTACTAGACTTGAGCACCTGTATAATCTCTGACAGGGGTATGGCTCTATAGCTTGCCCCTCTGCCCCTCCCACATCTAGGTGCCTATGTCAGGAATACATAGTCTTCCCCTACACCACCTTAAAAAATAGCAGAGTATTCAGAGAAAAACAGGGCTTATCTTTGTAGAAGATGCACTGGCTTTTTGAGCGCTGTTACTACAAGACAAGAGGCAACCATCACAAGTTCCAGTAAGTGAAATTCCAAATAGACAGAAGGAAAAGAAAATTTTACAGCGAGTAACGCAGTCCTGAACAGGGCTGCAGAGAGGTTTTGGAACCCCTGTTCTTGGACATCTGCAAATCTGCCTGGACAAAGCCCTGTGAAAAGTATTTTCACTTTGAGGTCAGCCCTGCTTTGAGCAAGGGATTGGAAAGGAGACCCTGAATTTTGCTCTGATTTTATGATTGCATAATCAGGCAGGAAAGAAACATCTCCCCTCACAGAAGCTACTTCACTCACATATTCCTAGCATATCTGACCTACAGGAATACTTCCAGTTCCACAGCCACCTCCATGCTGACAGCGATACATTATTGCTGGCAAGGAACAGGGAGAGCTTGCCCACTCTGAGGTGCATCTTCTTCCAAAAGCTTTTAGAAATAAATAGCAATAATAAACACCTATGCTTTTTCTCATGTAAACTCCTGGAGACTATTCGAGTGTTCCAGGGATCCCTGGGAATTTCATGAGTAGGATTATATCTACATGCTATGAAGTTAGTGCCATTTTCCTTGGAAAGGTGGTATAACCAGCATCAGGGCACACAACAGAGCCTCTGCAAAGCTACGCTGGACTTAAAACAGTGAAAGGGAGAATTTGTGTTTTATGCCAAACGTGCCTTTTTGATTAACTTCACATTAGGGTTTGTGTCCTGAATGATTCCTAATATTTCCTCCAACACAGAAAACCCTTTCTATTTTATGGCCCAATAAACTGGCTTGGAAAATGCAAACAGGGCTCATAAAACTGTGGTTTTTATGGTCACATTCACTGATTGTCAGGGATGGATGTTTCCGATTTGGTGTTGCTGATAAGCTACAGAGAGCTGTTTCTGGACAGCTACTTTCAAAGGATGGGCAGGACTGGCAAAAATAAGAAACCTGATAGTCCCTTTAGCCTTTTCTGCTTCTGATCAGAGAAAGAGGGAGCATTTTCTGCCTGGAATATGGCATGTGCTGTACACACAGGTCTTCAGGCATAACCTTGGTATTTCTGTTGGCTGACCAGATAGAAATTGGAACAACTTTTCTAGTTGCACTTTGTCCACAGTGAGAGTTTTTAATATGGTCATCGGAGAAAAATACAAGTGATTAACACTCAGATCTGCAAACAGACATGAATTGAAGACATATTAAAGACTTGACCCATGATGAGCAGTGGGGCATAACATTCTCCAATGACATAAGCAGCTTGGAGCTGGTAAGGAGGATTAAATTGAATTGGGGGCAGGGGGAGAGAGTGATTTTTTGATTTTACTTTTTTCCAGCAGAAAATGCCAATAAGACAAAGCTCATATGTCTTCAGGAATGAAGCACTGCCAAGGAAACTTTCCAGGATGAGGTTTCTAATAACCTGGAAATGCGGGAGGCTGCATGGGAAATGCACATCCATATTTCTGCTGCATGTGCGATAGAGGGAGGACTTGAACATGACTCTTCTAGATTCCCACTGAATGTCCCAAATCACTATGCAGAGTTTTATCTCTTGCTCCCTCCACCTGGCCAAATTAATCTTGTTGTTCCACAGTTAAGAAATAACGCATTTAGACCCACTTTAGGCTAACTAACATCCTGGCATTGATCCCACTAGGAATGGGAAAAATGATCCAAGTAGAACTTGAGTCTTCTGCATCCTATGTAGGTGCCCTAAAGCTCGAGGGACTGTTGACTTTGGCCTTTTAGGGGGTCTTTCCCCCAATTTCCTAACAATTTTTAGGAAGTCTTATACTAACAGCTTGATTCACTTTAGCTGAAGATCAAATTTCAAAGAGGTGCCCTTGGCCCTGCGTTGCCTGTGATCTCTTGTAAACAAAGAGATCAAGGGGCGTGAGGCTTCTAGGGGAAGAGCATCCCTTCCCTAAAGGCAGCTGCCCCAGTCACCTATCCCATTTTGCCCTGGCAATAGCAAAAACAATCCCAGTTCTTCCTAACTCTGGCATTTCCCATGGAAATTAAGGCCCAGCCCAGCCCCTCTTCTTCAGGTAGCAAAACATGCTGATGGGAAGTCTTGGGAGTGCTCCAATTCCTCATAATGAACTTGTGTATGTATTTTTTTCCTAATGTGTCATTTACTGGTGAGATAAAAAGCGCCTTCCCATAAACCTTCCCTTGTTTGTATTCTTGGGCCATGGCTACTGCATTTGCATTACATATGCTGAGTGACATACTTTAGTCTGGCAAGAGCTGCAAATAGAACAGCAGATGCTGAGGGCATCTACAGAACCTCTCCCCAAATTGTTCTCCAACTCTTCCATCTGGATTTTGGAATCAAAGTGAACTTTTTATACAGCTTAGCTATATTATTTCCTTGCTAGGTTTTAGAAATAGAAAGCTTGCACTGTATTTAATCCAACTATAATCAGAAAACACTAGCAGTCTCCCAAGTAGTCTTTTGAAATGCTTGGGAAGAGAAGCCAAGTGGAAGTGCTGAGGATTTCATTATAAAATGTTCCTTTTTGTGTAGGAGGAAGTAAGAGAGCGGGAGGGGGAAGACCTGTCATTTTGATTGTGTGGGAAGTGGGGTTGTTAAAAACCAGGGCCAATTTCACTCAGAATGGTTCTATTCTTAAAGAAAACCCTCCAGGTCTGCAAAATACTCATTTTGCTTACAAAATATATAACAATGTTTTAAGAAAAGTACTTGAAAGACCTGTCTCATTGCTTTGTTTCTTTTTCTTCAAAAAATATTTAGATACTTGAAAAACATGAGACTATTGAATGTTTTTTTCTGAAATAAAAAACATGAAAAAACAACTGTCATTTTTACATAGCTGTGTTTGTGATGAAGTATTCTGATCTGAAAATATGTTCAGCTTTCAGCAGTACACACCACTGTATTCATCAGAATACACATACATGTTCTGCCATCAGGAAAAAAAACATTTCTGGCTGTACCCACATCCAAGCTAGGTACGTCAAACAAAACAAGCGTGAAGAAAAAAAAAAATCCCAAACCAAAAAAAAAAAACCCACAAAAATCTAAAAAACAACAGAGGAGGAAGACCTTAAGGTCACACTTGCATCACGTTCTTTAGCTTTACGCTGTAAAATTAAAATTAGAAACTTATTTTACAAGAACAGAAAGCAAGATTCTCTTACTATGCCATGCTGATGCCATCAAGGAAAGCAGGGTTTCGGAGCCAGGTGGGTGTACTGCCTGTTGTCCTAATAGAGCCCTGGGAAAACTCCTCAGCCAGTCTTTTCCAAAGAAGGCACCAGGCAAGTCTATACTAGGTGCTGAGCTGAGCCATGGCTGCAGAGAGGCCTGTATAACCCATGGCTCACTGAAATAGCCTCCAAACCCACTCAGAGTGGACCACTTCTGAAATAATGCCACAGGTGAAAGATGTGAACCATAACAACAGACTCTTGCTTAGTGCCCTGTTAGCAAGACTCACCCAAATTTCCATTTCTTGTTCACTATCGAGGCTTAATTCCTTCTGAAACAGCCTTAATGAATCCTAGTGGTGCCTCCTAAAACCCGGCTGGGCTCATTTGAAAAATGTGAAGCCAGCTGTTAGAAATAACTTCACCCAGACAGCAAATAAAACTGTTTTAGTGCATTTCACTGTGTCTGACTGCTATCTTGGGGGCAGTGAGTCTGAGATGTGCAGGAGCCTGCTGCACTTGGCTTCCTATTCCTCCATGCAAATGGGGTCCCTCTGTGTATGCTAGGAGCAGTGAGGAAGGACCACACTGGATGAGCAGGGAACAGGTAAGTCTTGGCTGCCCTGGGTTATATTTCTCTTTAGGGACACCTTGTAGTCACAAACAAGGCATAGGACTCTCACCCTATGGAGAGACAATGCAGGGTGTGGGAGTCTGGTTTCTGGCTTTCTGAGCACAGTAGAGAAAGGTTATCGTAACTTGTGGTTTCACACTGAAGAGTGACTAAGAAAAGGAAAAAGTACCCTGCATTTGTTGTTTCCAAACAGTTTTATGCAAAATTAGCCTGGTTAAGTAATATTCAGGGTCTGGGGATTTATTTTCTTTTAAATGGCTGCCCAAAGGAGAAACCTGCCTGGTCTCTGAAAACTAAGCTTGATCCTTCCTAACTCAGGAAATAGGAGTTCAATCAAAGTGGTGAATGTGACACATGTTACTGTGGCATACAAAACAGCCCGGCTGCCTTCTCTAGACTGCTTGATGCTCTGCAAGAAGCACCAAGGGATGGGTATGGCTGGAGATGGAGCCTGAAGAGATGGGGGAAAGCAGAGGTGGGCTGGTGCAGCTCTCTGAAGTGCCTTCAGCTGTGAGGTAGGAGACCCTTGCAAAGTGTGATGGATGATGTGAAGGGTAAAGGGGATGGCTCTGTGGCTTAGATGGCAGTGGGATGATGGCAACATCAGGTAACCCACCCACCTGTAGGATGTAGTGTGGTGCGGATCTGTGACTTTGCACCACTCCATGACTCGGGGTTCACTGGCCATACTAGGCCTATGAAGGAGCTGGTAAGACAGCTCAGTATTTTTCTGCAGAATACTCAACATGAGAAGGAAGTCAGCAGTATGTGTGTAAGTCTTAAACGACCTACATATGGGGAAAAGAAAGAGAAAGGGAAAATAGGATTGTCAGATTAATGAAGGAATATTGTAGAGAAAATGGGAAGGCTGGAGGAGTAGGTGAGCACTGGAGAGTTCAGGCTGAGGGCCTGATCCACACAGCTCTGAAATAAAGAAAAGACAGCTCTACTGGGACCTGTATCTGTTTCCAAGAAACAAATACAGTTATAGGGTTACTTCTGTAATGACTTAAACCAAAACCCAAATCTCTAGAGCCTAAATTTCTTTTTCTCCAGGTCTGAGCTCAAGGCCCATCTAACGAATATGTTTCTAGCTTCCTATGAAGTGAAAAAGGAAGAGCGACCAATGCAGGACTGTGGGCTGGCTCCCTTTCTATCCCACAGGTCTACCCAGTGGCCTACCAATTCTGTAGTAATCCTTATCCAGGTCTTTGCAGAAGCCTTTCCCGCTAGCCACCTCCAGGGAGTACTCGATGAGGAGCAAAACACTCATAACCTAGGAGAACAAAAGCAAAAAACACAATTCAGTGGGCCATGGGCCAACTTCCTTGCAAGAGAGCTTGTAATGACCATAGTCCCAAATGCATGCTGGTTCTCCAAGTGAAATGGAGTCATTAAAGGTTTTAAAAAACCCATCCTTTACACAGAAACACTGAGGCAAAATTTACCAATTTATTAATGATATGGATTTAGCTGTCTTTTTTTTTTTCTGCCAGCTTCTGAAGGAGGATGGAGGAATTACAAAGCTACTAAGTTTTATTTCAACATTTTTTAGCTAGAAAGTTCTAGCTTTACATTTTAGAAGTGTTTGCTTCAGAATTTAGCTAAATGTGACAATAATATTTTTAAAGGGTAAACAGAAATGCAAAAAGAATAAAGATCTCTCTCTGCAAGTCTAGCTATACTACTTCATTGGCAAAAAATGTTGTTTTTCCTTTTATTTATTTGAGAAAAATCTCCAAAGGTGTTAGGAAGGGATCCACTGGCGCACATGGGGCACGGGGCACCCTGGGCTCACAGAAGACCTCCTGAAGGCTGGAGGCCTTACAATGTACCACTTCAGACCACAGGTCCAGAGAACTTCCATGCAAGTAAAACCAGGAAAGGAGTAGCCACGATGCTAGACAGCCATGTCGCATCCCCCCAGGGGCAATTCCACCCTGCCAGCCTGTCAACTGCAGATAGCATGTGCTGAGGAGATCGAGTGTCTTGTGTGTCAGGGCACAGGAAATCCAAGGCCACAATGGAGCATCAGTGACTGTCCACCTAGAGTTGTCAGAACAAATACAGCCTCTCAGAAATAAAGGACTACTCAGATGCCATGTGTTGCTCCTCCATCACCTTATTGCCACTTTCAGCACAGTATGTGAGAAGGCACATTTCTAACTCCACCATGTTGCCCATCGTGTTCGTCGCTTTCTTCACGATTCTCCTTTCTCTGCTGTCCTTCCTCATGGCTACTATATCTCTTCTGTCTTCTGCATTTTTAGACTGTAGCAAGCTGGAGCACAGCATGGTCTGTCAGATCTACACCCACAACTGCACTTTCCAAAAGTAGTATAGTGTGCTGTTGTATTTTAAAAAAATGGGCTAGGTGGAACTTAACTGCATGGGGAATTGAGGAGCAAGACTGCTGCTACGTTCCTCCAGGAAGCAGGAAACATAGACTTGTCACCCCACAGCTGCATCTCTTACTTTCTAGATAAGCTCTCTGACCACTCTGCTGCTGTGCAAGAGCTGCTTGCTTCTCTGTCCAAGCTTTAGCTCCATCGGGGAGGTGGAGAGGAGCAGGGGAACACCTCTTGCCTCAGTGCTAAGGAATTTGAGTCTCCAGGGCCAAAGCTTGAGAGCAGAAAGCAGGAATCAAACCAGGAAAAATACAGGGACCTTAAAGTCCTTTACATTTTTCCTAATAGATATGGGACCTCAGCCTGTAGGACAGGAAACCCTAGGATGTGCAGAAAGTGTAGCAATCTGTGCAAACATGAACCTCCATCTTCACCCCACCAACACCAGGTCAAGGACTGGGAACATCCATTCTGCGAACTAGCAGGGATAGGTGGCATCAAGAAAAGCATGATCAACAAAATAAATTTGTCATGAAGGGGTGAATAAGAGAAGCCCCTTTATCTGAACTGTACAGCCTCTGCCTGGGAGTTATCTGAACCTCAGACTGATGCAGGAAGCAGGTTTGTATCTGTCACCAAAATCAGCACAAGCTCTGGTACTGTGTGCATAAAACAACTTTTACACAGTATCGATAGTAGCCTTTCATTTCAACAATTGCTTGAAGAAGTGACGCAGGCAAGGAGGAACTGGAACTGTTGTGGTTGGTGGGCGTGTTTGCAAAGTTTGTGTATGGGAAACAGCACAAAAGCAGCAAGCACAAGGGAGACAAGACAAATGTAACTGTTAACCAAGCAGAAGAAATAATATATTTTGTCTTTTGCCCAGCAGTGGTACGAGATCTAAACAGAGTTCACACTGGTGTAAGGTATAGTCAGAGACGCTTCCTGCCCTAAGGCTGATGTTGCAAAAAAAAAAAAAAAAAAAAAAAAAAAAAACCCCACCCAGGCTGGGGAAGAGGGGAGGAAAGGATTAACACTGCCACTTCAGAAATGGGAAACTGAGGCTAGGAGAGTAGCGATTGTGATGGCCTACAGCAGAGTCAGAAGCTGAACCCAGACTCTCCCACTGTCTCTGCGTCAGCTGCACAAGACCTGGAAGCAATCTCCAAAATTCATCTCATCAACTTTCTGTGCCACAGGCAGCAAGTGCCGTTTCCCAAAGAGCTGGAGCACATCCCACAGCCTCCCTGGGAGACCTGTATCAGAGCATATTTCTAGAGTTAGTATGCCAACAAGCAGCTCTCTTGCTGCAGTGAAGACTGTGCCCTTGTGCCTCAGCAAAAGCATTAGCCTTCCCTCTGAAATGCAATTAAAACAATGTCTAGAGTTTGAGGTAGAAGAAGGAACAACTGTCATGTGTTTTCTCCTGGCCTGTCCAATGTCAGATTGTTCAATAGCTACATGAGGCACTCTGTATGTCTTTTTTTTTTCCCCCTCCTCATAGTGTAAATGAAGTTTGCAACTTGTTTGTGAGGCAGAGAGATAGGAAAAGGAGAAATATCTAGATCTCGTTACGTGGGGGCGCAAGAAAGTTAACACGAGTTCAATTTTGTGTAACAGCTTTTAAACTCCCATGGAAGCAATGAACCTTATCAAGACTGGAGGACGAATTTGTAGTGATCTGAAGTTTTTTAACACTTGATGACCTTCCCAGGGGTGTAAAGGACCTCTTAACTAATTGCACACGGAGATCACACACTGACTTCATCTGCTCTAACTTGCCAGAGAGGTTTCATGTACGCTTTTCTGAAGACATTTCCCTTCCCTTACTGCTGCTGTTGGTCAATCCCCTCATATTTCAGCATGGGAAATATAGGGGGAAATGGCTTTTTCAGGTTTCTACTAAATGGATGCCTGAGTGAAACAGATGATCTAAGCCCTAAACAATCAGTTTCAATCCTCAACAAGAGAGTGAAAGCAGAGCATCAAGTCCCAAATGCTCCCATTCCCAGAGGGGTTCAGAGCCAGAGAAGACCTAGGGTCAGAACTTCAGTATGAAGAACCATGTCTGATGTCTATCGAATAGGAGAACAGTGGAGCAAAAGAGGGCCTGGTTTCCTTGCACTCTCCCTAGCAACTGTTGAAATAAACCACCCAACCTCACCAGCTGCAGTCACGTGAAAAAAGTGCGTATCAAATAGAGAACCCAAGCCCAAGTCGGAAGATTAAGAAGATTCCCCCTCCTCATAGTGTAAACGAAGTTTGCAACTTGTTTGTGAGGCAGAGAGATAGGAAAAGGAGAAATATCTAGATCTCGTTACGTGGGGGCGCAAGAAAGTTAACACGAGTTCAATTTTGTGTAACAGCTTTTAAACTCCCATGGAAGCAATGAACCTTATCAAGACTGGAGGACGAATTTGTAGTGATCTGAAGTTTTTTAACACTTGATGACCTTCCCAGGGGTGTAAAGGACCTCTTAACTAATTGCACACGGAGATCACACACTGACTTCATCTGCTCTAACTTGCCAGAGAGGTTTCATGTACGCTTTTCTGAAGACATTTCCCTTCCCTTACTGCTGCTGTTGGTCAATCCCCTCATATTTCAGCATGGGAAATATAGGGGGAAATGGCTTTTTCAGGTTTCTACTAAATGGATGCCTGAGTGAAACAGATGATCTAAGCCCTAAACAATCAGTTTCAATCCTCAACAAGAGAGTGAAAGCAGAGCATCAAGTCCCAAATGCTCCCATTCCCAGAGGGGTTCAGAGCCAGAGAAGACCTAGGGTCAGAACTTCAGTATGAAGAACCATGTCTGATGTCTATCGAATAGGAGAACAGTGGAGCAAAAGAGGGCCTGGTTTCCTTGCACTCTCCCTAGCAACTGTTGAAATAAACCACCCAACCTCACCAGCTGCAGTCACGTGAAAAAAGTGCGTATCAAATAGAGAACCCAAGCCCAAGTCGGAAGATTAAGAAGATGATTTTTAAAGTGATAGTCACTTTTAACCTTCCATTTAAAAGGATTTTTGTGTAGAAAGAATGAGGCACTGAACTGCAATGAGATAAAATAGATAACACTCTCTGGGCTTCACCTCAGCCTTCCAGTGCAAGAGCACCAGAAGACCTCTCCCTCACCTGACTCTGGATCTGACTCCCTTCTGCCCAGCATGTGACAATGTCATTTACTCCTGCAGAGAACAGACATGCAAAGTGACCTAATGACCACAGCTGGCTGCTCGCCTCAAGCTGAGAAAAAAGTAGAGGAAGACTGGTGTGGTGTCTGCCCAGCGTTCCTCACCTTATAAGGCCAGATATTCTCACTTGAGATTTACCCTTCCCTTTGGTTACAGAGGAAACCAAAAGGTTCCCATTTCAGACAGACTGGAGTGCTCAGAGAAGCATCGAGTTCTCTTTCTTAGTGCTGTGTCACTGAACACGAGAGACAAGCTTAAAATAGGAAATTCTACCTGCTGGCACTCAGTTCACAGTTCTCTTGGCATGAAGCAATCTCTCAGCCCCTCTGCAGTCCTGGCCCTCCCTATTTTGTCTGTGACACCAGCTCTGTCTTATCTGTTGTGTATTTAACCCCCTTCTCTCATTTTCTCAAGATTCTGGGGACTCATCTCACCTTGTTGCTGCCTCCTTTTAAAAGGAGTACCTCAGACCTGGTGGTTAAAATCAGACCTGCTGCGGGGGGGAGGTAAGATCTGTAGCACCAGGAAATGAAGTGACTTAGCCAGGGTAGCTGTGTAGAACTGAGGCAGAGCCAGAGTCGTTAACCCAAGGCAGCTAAATTCAGCAAGAAAGAGGCAGAAACTTAGTAGCATGATGCGCATGGCCTCAGTTCCCCGGAGAATAATTTGGCTGCAGCTGCAGTAGGGTTAAACTGTTGATAGAGATTGTGTCATGTGCCTTTTTTCGGAAGT